CTCTGAGGACGGGTTGCAGAGGGAAGGGTGCTCAGCGTGGCAGCCCTGCCCGCTCTGGAGTCACCCTCTTTAATAATGGGAAGAGGAAAACACTTGGTGCTCAGCAGGGGTTTTGCCAACACAAAACCTTTCCCCGCTCCAGCCACCAAACTATTTTGGCTGCTTATCTGCCCCCAACACCCAGAAACTCTCTGGATTCACTGCATCTCCAATGGGAGGGAATCAAATGGGGGCTGTGCATGAGTGAGGTGCTCCCCATGTCCTGGGGTTATGCTAAGCTGGAGCAAGAGCTGGGATAAGAGGTAGGGCCAGAGGTAGGGATGGGAAGGGACCCGGGTTAGGGCAGAAAGCTGCTGCCTGGGGAGCGCTCTGACATGCCGTTTGCTGTGCAGTAATAATCCAGCAAGTAAAGTTGGCTCCACAGGTAGTAATTTGGGATTTCTCCATATTAATGGCATAAAAGCAACAGTCTGAAACTGCAAACAGCTTTTAAACAAAACATCTCTATTCCCTCATGGCAAAGAGGAGGCACAAAACAGATAAGGAATGAATCAACAACCCATTTGGAAAATAATCCCCGAGTGATTTGGGGATGGTGTGAAGTTGGGGCTCTGCCCCTCCATGAGGCAAGGGGGGGAAATCACTCTAATCTAGTCTTTAGTGAGCTGGATCCAGTGCTGAGCCTGCTGGCTAGGCCGAGAGGTGTGACTGGTACAGATCAGCTCCAATCCCATCTATTTATTAACACCACACAGCATTCCACCAAAGAGAAGAATCTATTTAACAAAAAGAGATGGATGCTCTTGGCTCCACAGTGGAAGGAGCAAGAAGGGGGTCTGGTGTGTGATGAAAGATCCCTCCTCTGCCCCCACCAATGCACCCAAGAGGGACATGCAGGAGAAGCATCACCAGAGGAGTGCTTTGATTTAAATCCTTGCTATAAAACAGCAGCAGCAGCAATGATGTGGTGCACTCCTCCAAGCTGAAGCCTTAATGCTGGCTTGTCCAACAGGTGAGTTGAGCACCCCAACTACCACAGTGATAATTAGTGGTTATTAAACCACTTCAGTACAGAAAGAGCTGTCACAGAGCTCCTAACTCACGACAGCTCGAGCTGAGCTGCTGTGGTGCTCACATCCTGCCGGGCTCTCACTGATGGATGGGGAAAGGGCTCTTGGCACCAGCACGAAGGGGTGTGTGAGCAGGGACAGGCTCTATGTAACACAACAAGATGCCACACCAGTGCTGGTGTATATAAAGAGCACATATACTACATGCAGTATGAACTGTTTGACTGTTGCCCACCCTTGTTGCGGGTACACTGGTCACATCAGCCAGTATTTGCTCCCTCCATCCCTCCCTTCGGCATTACCATCTCCTCAGTCATGCCACTAAACTGCTTGGGTGCTGCTTGACCCCTCAGATAAAATGATGCAGGTTAAAGGGGAAAACTAAAATCTGATACAGGACTGAATAGAACCAAGAGGCTGGTCTAAGGTCTGGGACCTCCAAAGCTACACAGCTCTCCTACTACCTGCCTGGGGTGCTGCGTCCTCACATCAAACACCATCCTCATGCTGCATCCTAGAGGTACCTGCTGCACATCCCCATCCTCTTGAGCTGACCAGACACAATAAAGCCATCAGTGTTACACCAGCTACATCCCAGTGCTGTGCCAAGCCATGGCTGGGAGGACCTTTCTAAGAGCACACAGTGATAGCACAAGGGGGAATGGCTTTAGCTAAAGCACTGAAGAGGCCCAGCACAACATAAACCCAGCTGTGTGATGGAGGGGCACCTTCATCAAGGAATCTTCCCATTTCACTCACTATAACGTGATGGAAAAAGGTTGTGGAGAAGGGAGCAGAAGCTGAGACACTCCCATGGGAGTTGGTGCTGAGGGAGCCCATGGGAACTGAACCCTACATGCACTACAAGGGTATGTAGTGATAGGACAAAGGGGAATGGTTTTAAACTTAAATAGGGGAGATTGATGTTAGATATTAGGCAGAAGCTCTTCCCTGTGAGGGTGCTGAGATACTGGCACAGGGTGCCCAGAGAAGCTGTGGCTGCCCCATCCCTGGCAGTGTTCAAGGCCAGGCTGGACACAGGGGCTTGGAGCAACCTGCTCTAGTGGAAGGTGTCCCTGCCCGTGGCAGGGGGTTGGAACTGGATGAGCTTTAAGGTCCCTTCTAACCCAAACCAGTCTGGGATTCTATGATTCTATAACCATGCAGCCATCAGATGGGTAGAGACTAATCAGTGTTGCAGACTTGGTGACAAAGAGACCACCCCCATGGGATGGAAATACCGGTAACTGGTAGGTGTTACCCAGGCCAGGGTCCATGAGACAGCCTTTCCCAGCACAAAGGCTTCCTCCCAGTCCCACACTGCCATGCCTTGCAAATTGAGAATATCCTATTTATTAAAGACACTGAAGATGCGGCGACATGGGAAGCAGACACCGTTCAACTGACTGTCACATCTGCATAGCTAAAGGAGCCCAGCAGTTCAAATCCCTCTAAAATACTCAGCCCCTTGTTCTGATAGCAGGTTCTTGCTCCTACTTTGCAGAAACAGGCTTTTAATCCCTGGTATTAGACAGCTTCCTGCTATGTTTCAAATGCACCAAATTAAGGGCTTCTCTAACAGCTGGTGTCTTAATGCTCAGAGAGGTTCTTGAATATCTATGAAAATCAGAGGCAAATTATATCTTTTAGTTAATAATTTCTTCTCCATTAACCTCCTTCTCTCCCCTTGTTAGGGGATGATGTAATGGTGCTTCTACAGCGTCACCCTCCAACACACTGGGCAGCCTGGCTGCAGGGAAGGACACTGCATGGGGTGAATTGAGCTCTTCTCATCACTGCCTGGTGCTTTTGGATCCAACAGGCTGCATTCCAATGGGAAAGGTCAGCCATGCCGGCCTTCCAGGCTGCTGAAAGCATTTGTGGAGCAAGACATGCTCCGAGCTCTGCTGAGCCAGTGCATCGTACACTGGAGCCTGCAACACGTGGACACGCTTTGAAGGTTGCTCTTGTTTCAGACCTGCTTTCTCCTGCCCTTCCTAGATTTAAACAAGGGACTGGTCACCCAACTGATGCTGGGCAGTGAAAACCTTGTTTGTGAGGGTGAGGTTGTGCAGAAGACCTGGCTTCTGCTGTGCAGAACCTCACTGGGAAATGGTTCCCCCAAGTGCCTTCATCCCAGCCATCACCCAGGCAGCCTGGCTGGCCATGGGGAGAGGATGGATCACCAACAGCCCTGAAAACCTGTTAGCCAGAGCCCTAGGGAGTGCTTTGGGCTCTCACTCCTGGAAGATCCAATCCCAACACTACAGGGCTTTTATCCCAAGAACAAAGAGGCCAAGGGCGGCTCCAGCAGGAACTGCTCCTGGTCCAGCCTGGGACTGACCAAACCCCCATCTCCAGCGTGCCCTTGTTTGGCATGACTTGGAGAAGCCACATCTACTAGGAGAAGGTGCATCTTCCAGGATAAATCAGACCCATAGACAACATTGCGTGCTTCCCAGCTGGAATTTAGCCCTGAGGACAGGGACCTGTTTGCTTCCTGGCTGCCACAAAACAGCCCTTAGATCCCAGCTCTGGCTGAGGCAGGAGAAGGATGGCTTTCAACCCTCCTGCTTTGCAGTGCAAGCAAAGGGCAGTCTATGGATGAGCTGGAGAGAAAAGTCTCTGCAAAAGGAAGTTTGGTGCTTAAGGATGATGGCACAAGCTGGGGCTGGCCCTCATTGAGGGGGAGCCTGCCTGGGTCTGGCATTCCCAGGAGAACACTTGGGTAGTGTTTGAAGCCCCCAGACCTGCCAGCTCTTGGAAAATCTCAGCTCTGACGGACCTGCTGACGCTTGTAATGTGGGAGGGAGAGAAAGCAAAGAGGAGCCCACTGGGAAAATTGCCTCCGTGTACTGTCAATTCTCACTTCAGCGAAGGCTGCGGCTCTGCTGGCTCCAAGCACTCTGCTGGCTGTGGCTTTCTGAGTGCCTCTGTGCTGATGGAGCTCGTAATTCATCTGCCATGGAGACAGCAGAAGGCCAGAGTTCAGTGTGAATTCATTACTAGGAAGGTTCTGCATTCAGCTGGGGAAAAGTGCCCAGAAAAACACCATGGCCAGCGGTGATGAGCTCCCAGCTCCAGCTAAAATCAGAGGCAGCAAAGGGGTCTTGGTGCCTTAACAGGAGAGAAACCCTCAGTCTGTTGAACTGGCAGATGCTGGTCAAGGAAGAGTTGTGTCTGGGTGGGATGTTGGGCTGGATCCTCTCCTGATGTGATCAGTGGTGCGGCTTTGATCATAGGCCCACCTTGGTTTATATCCAACTAAAATGTGTCCATATTCAAGAGAAGTGAAGAAAAATAGATAACTAACTCATTTTCCAGCCTGAATTTGGCAGCTACCAGCAAGCTCTCCTCTGTGAGCACTGCAGCTCAGATCCTGCCCTCCCTACCATGCACACCTGACCCTCAGCACTCCTGACATAGCCAGGATGCAGCTTACAAACACCTCTGCTATCTGCTACTTGTGCTCTGGTGGGGTATTCACCTTCAGCTTATTTATGTTCCTTTATATATATATACGTATATACACACATATATATGTGTGCACATGTAACTGGAGACACTGAATAAAAACAGCTCACACAGGTTGAAAATACTCCCACGGAAATGCTCCTTCATACTACACACGAGTAAATGGTGGAACTCATTGTCACAGGGTATCATGAGGATGAAAGACATCAGTGTTCAGGAAGACTACCTGGAAAAGCCCATTAAAGGCAATTAAACACTTGACAAGACACACACTGGCCCAGGAGGGTCTTGCTGCCTGCAGAAAGGATGAGCAAGTAGGAAAACAATGGATGGTTGCTGTCCTCTTGCTCTCATTCCCTAGTGAACCTGTCAGAGATGCTGGCTCTACAGCAATGGACCTTGGTCCCATCTCACCATCCCGATGATCCCAAAGCTAGGAGCACAACTGGACCATACCTGAAACTCATCTGGAACACTTGCCCTTGGTTGACGTGCTGGGTCCTGTTGTTATAACCATGCAGCATCTCCCCAAAGAGGGTGTCGTTGAACTTGGCATCCGACTTCAGGCACTTGGGGCCCTCGCAGATGTCAGACAGCATCAGGCAGGACTTCCCATCAGGGGCCAGCTTGTACTCCTCCACGCACCTGTGGAGCACCACAAGCTACATAGGATCACAGCCTAGTTTGGGTTGGAAAGGACCTTTAAAGCCGATCCAGTCCCAATCCCCTGCCATGGGCAGGGACACCTTCCTTTAGGCCAGGCGCAGAGCAAGCCCCTCCATGGGATAAGTCTCTGATGAGCCCAGCCGAGCACCACCAGCACCTCCAGAGGCTGCCCGGGAAGGCACAGGGGTTACAGAGCCCACATCCTCAGCAGTGGCTCCACTGGGGGTCCAGCACCCATCCTTTCTGCTGCAGCACAACCCCGTCTGCCTGCACCATGCTCTCTGCCTGGGAGCTACCCCCATACTGGGGAGTGGAGCTGAGCCTACTGTACATCTACTGCCCAACATCACCAACAGCCCCTGTCCACCCAGTGCAGTGCAGGTACAAGCATTCCCCAGGCAAGAGCAAAGCAAAACCAAGCTCCTGCCCTTTCTTCCACCCAGCAGTGCCCCCCTGCAAGGAAACAGTTCCAGTGTGGCTGCTCCTTTGCTCTTTGGTCCCACTTTCAAGCACATTGTGGGCCTTCTCTTCTCCTTCCTCCAGCCTTTTCCCCAGCATTGCAGCTCCCAGCTAACAAGAAAACCTCCATTCCCTGCCTGACCCTTCCTCCCTATAGCCACAGTGCTCTGATAACATCAATCCCACGTCCATCCAGGCTTGTTCCCCTCTCCCATTCCTCTACTGCATTTTATTACTGCAAGTGAAACTCCCACCCGTCTGTCACATTTTTCCCTGCCTGTTCCCGTGGTGCAGCTCTGG